TTAATAAATGTGGTTCTAGTGCCATATCTCTGACTTGCTGTGACTGATTATGTTCAAATTTTAAATATTCATTAGACATCATGTCATAGATATAAAGATATATTGTTTGACGATCCTATTAAAAATGGCCGAATGGTGGCCATTTTTGGGCTAAAATATCGTCAAAATCAAGCATTTCTCAGGTGTTTACAGATGGATTTTGTTCATACTTGGTATATTTTGTTTTTCAGATAAGATTCAAAATGACCAACTGGTGGCCATTTTGTTTTAATGAATGTGGTTCTAGTGGTTCTGACTTGCTGTGACTGATGTTTTTTATATATTCATTATACATGTATTCAAAATGGCTGATTTTGTTTTAATTAATGCTGTTCCAGAGCAGTATCTCTCAATACCCGTTTGACGATCAGATACAAATGTCAATCATTTAAATGTTAAACAATCATCATAATCATATTCCTGACATGTTTATATTCCAGCTTATTACTATAAACAAAGCTATATATCTTAAATTAAATAACTAACGGGGACTGTGCCATGCATGGCTTGTTTACTTAATAACAGCAAGTAAAACCAACAAAAATATTCATAAATAAACAAAAATAACAAGATAAAAATATAAAAAAATTGGAGCCTTATACCTATATTGGATTTTAATCAGATGAATATTGAACATACATAGTTCTACATACATTTTTGTGAAACTGTGATAAAACTGTGTGCATATAGAGTCATTGTTTGTAAAGAGATTAAGTTGAGGAAGTTATTTTCCAAGGCATTACCAAAAAAAACGACGTTATTTATCGTATTAGAAATGTAAATATGTAAAAAAGTGCATTCATTAAAATATGACTTATTTGACCATACATACACCCTGGTCATTTACATAAATGCATGCACTACTAATAGATGAAATATGGTAGTCATCTTTTTTGTCACTGTGGATGTCAAGTAAAAATGTCTAATGAATTACTAGTACGTCCTAGATGTGTTTAATCACCTGATCAGAAATCAAAGCCAATCAAGTGTTTACTACTCACTGCCATGTGTTTTGTTGCCATAATGCAT